CTTTTTTTTTTGCAGAATATGGCCATTATTTTTTAGGATGTCTCCATCCTTCACTTTAACTTAACATTGCATTATGCCTTTTTATCTTTTAATGACATTACTATAATTTTCCTAATCAAGATGCTATAGGTTCGAATTATATCCAAATGAAACATACGGAGTACTCCGTATTTGAAATTTATATAACACATACTAGAAGTCTAGAATCACAAATACTATTGGTATACACATATTTTCCACACATCTTGTGTACAACTACTAGATATTTATCTACACAAACAATTCGTTGAAAAATGTCTTATGAACACACAATTAAGGAATGCACAAAAGGTGTACAAATTATGTGTACAACCAGTGGTGTATCCAAAAAATTCGGTCAGCGGAGAAAAATTTACACTAACGTTATCATACAATTTTTAGGAAAGAAATATTAATTAGAAAATCTACAATGTATTAAAAATAAATTTTTAGGAAATAAATATTAATTAGAAAATCCACAATGTATTAAAAATAAAATAACTTTTTTAAGAAATAGAAAAAATATTTAATTATAAGTTTATAACTAATTTAAGTTACAAATAAGCAAGTCAGATTTAATACTAAGTGCGAAAAGGTGTGATTGAAATTACATTAAAATAAATTATTTTAAATTAATATACATGGATCTTAGGTTTAAACATTCTATAGTTTATTAAGTACAAAATGAAATTTATATATAAGATGTTATTAAAATTACATACATAGTACGGACTACGGAGTATCATTTTGAGTTTTTTTATATCGTCTAGTATCATTTTGAGTTGACATACATAGTATCACCTTTTAGCTACACTAAAAGAATTAATGGGAATTTTAGATTTGAACAAATTTTAAACAATTTTACAATTGTAAAAGGGCAAAAAAATAAAGCAAGGGGGTAATTGGAGCAAGGGAGAATTGAACACATGACCTGAGGGAGGAGAAGAAGCACTGAAACCAGTTAGCTACTACGCTAACTTTCTTTAGTCTCGACATTAGGCATTATTATACTATTATTTTAGTCACGCGTGTTGCGCGTTCGTAGTAATACTTAAGGCCATTATAGGACATTAATTCATCAGTTTAGGTTGAGAGAATATATAAATACAATATTTGAATACGTAGTTTGTTGTTTATTGATAAAGAATCATAAACAATAAAGTATTCACTTTGGGAGAGATACCCGTGCATTTAGCCTCCAACAAAAAAGGATTGAAAATTGACTACAATATGTACTTCGTTATTTGCCTTGCTTGCATTTTGTAGTCTCTATACAAGACCACCAAATTTGACCATAATAAACAGGGCAGAACTTGGAGCTGGTTTGTGAATCTTGAGTCTCTAGACAAGAACACCAAATTTTTAAAGCCAAAGGATGGTAGAGAGGGCAATGTACTTTTACTTATCAAGAATAGACACACCATTTAAGAGGTGTTAATAAAGAGTCATAATAATGCAGTAAAAAGAGGAGTTCTTTTTTATGTTTTGAATCAAGAATATACAGTAAACGCCTTTTTATGGACTAAAAAAGAACACCAAATTTGACCATAATATCTACATTTACATAATGGAAAAAGAGACGTTAAAATATAGCAAGGTTTTTTATACATAAAAAAGAACACCAAATTTGATGAATAGAAGTACAATGCCCTCTCTATCCATCTCGTGCCTTTAAAAACTATAGATTCACAAACCAGCTCTTTGGTCTGCCCTTTCTTAGGAAATCATGATTTTTTTCTCCTTATAACTATTATGCTAGTGCTAGTGGAGACCGGAATTTCTGCAATCTGAATTTTGTTTCCATCACCTATGCAATCTGAATTTGTCTCATCACATGACCACTTATTTCTAATATCCAAATTAAATGTAAAAGAACAAAACAAACAACAATAACAAAATAGATATTGTTACTTCGAAAGAGGTATGACCGCTTAGTGCTAGTTTCAAATCAGTCTCAATAACTGGAATACTTGGTATCAACACTCTTGGAGTGTCCAAAACATAAATGCTAGGTTGATGCCCAATCTGCATTCAATCAAATCTAAACATTTAACATTTCTCTTGTGCAAAATCATTTCTTATTTGCTTGTGATGCGCCACAAGTCCCCTAAACGCATATATCATTTGTGATATTTTTTTAATCATTACTTATTATTATTCTAATATAATATGTATGTACTATTAGTTCATTAATCGTGACTAATAAACATACATGTATGCATGTCTATATGTATGTGTATCAGTGTATGTGTGCAATATTCTACCTATAATTTAATTAGATATGTTTTATACATTATTAATATATGTATATATGTGTGTGTGTATGTTTGGGTATATATTTATAACAGGGATGGGGCGGGGATGGGGCGAGTGTAGTAATCCCCATCCCCCGCCCCATATTTTAGCGGAGTATAAATATCTCACCCTAGCCCCACCCCATCCTTCCCCCGTGGGGCGCGGTTCCCCACGGGTCCCTACCCCATTGCCATCCTTAATAAGTTCGTACATAGCACAACCCATACTTAATTATGACTAGTATAGTACATGTGCGATGCACGAGATATTATTTCATCAGTCCGTATACCGTGGGATCATCCCACGGTGAACATCATGCTCCTGGCCCAAAAACACGTAGGTTTAATCTTTTTTCAAAAAAAAAAAAACGTGAACAGTACACGCGTGAACAGTACACGCGTGTACAGTACACGCGTGTACAGTAATTGTTTATTTTTCTTTTTATCCCAGTAGCATGAGTCATGTAACTCGCGTGTAATTAAAGAAATGTAACTCACGTTAATAAGAAAAGTTACTGCAGGCAAGTCGAAATGTAACTTGTCTACAACAATGATTTCAATGTAAACAATAAAAAGGAGTCTAATTTGTTATTTACTTTACCTAAATAGTGAATATGTTTTGTTTTTAATATTAAGACCATAAAATGTTATAAATAAATCATTTTCCCAAAAAACATTTTTTTAGGAAAAAAAAGAATTTATTTAAAAAAGTTTGTTTGTTTCGATAATAAAAGGAGTTTATTTTGTGATTATGAAATACAATATACTTACTTTATGTGGATTAATAAAATTTGTATTAAATTAATAGAAAAATAATAATTCAATTGTAATTTAATTAGTCAAATATAAAAGTAAGTAAAAAATCATAAGTAAATAGATTTAACTCATGCCTAATTAGATGTAACTCGCACATAAAAAATATGTAACTCGCGCATAAGTAGATGTAACACAAGCATAACAAGATGTAACTCGTGCATAAGAAGATGTAACTTCGTATATTATCAAATGTAACTCCAAGGGTCACAGTAAACAAACTCAATTTCTTAAAAACATCTAAAAACATATAAAAGAGAGAAAATATTATAGAAATATTATACGCATACAAAAAAGTGTATGAATATAAAAATATATTAGTGTATATGTTTTGTTTTTAATATTATGGCCATTAAAAGTGATTTTTAATAAAATTCATTTTTGTTTGAATAACATGTGTTTATTTTGTGGAGTAAAGAAATGTGTTTATTTTGTTGTGTAACTCGTATTTTTTTCATTTTTTGTGGTGTAACTTGCATTATGGCAAATGTATATCACATGTAAGTTAGATGTAACTTGCGCACATAAATATTAACTCCATATATTATCAAATTTAATTCCATGAATCAAGATAAACAAACCCAAAATCTTAAAATATCTAGAAACACATAAAAGAGACAAAATTTATGTGAGAAAAATATAAAAATATAAAAATATATTACTAGCTTCAAGGGAGAGTGCTAGATGATGAGATGGAGTACACGTGTTTGCTTAAGGGAGAGTGCTAGATGATTCATTTTTAAAAAATGGAGAAGATCAACTCAAAGTGGAGCAATAATCTCCAAGTCCCATATGGGAATTATCCAGGTGAAGTGAAAAGCAATAATAATGGGCGGTCGTGCTACAAGATTTAATAAAACAGGGCGGCTGCGCAAAATCCAGATGCCGTTTTTAATAAAATGGTGCCGTTTTGGGATCGGTACACCATGAGCATGGTGCACCGATCCCACGGTATAATTTGCCTTATTTCATTGTTTCAAACGGTTTCCCGAACTGTTTAGAATTTAAAGTTAACATAACTGTAGTCTATTATATACAACAAAAGTTCAAATTGATAAAGAATACAAAGTACCACAAACCATAAAATTCAAAGAGCTCATTTATTAGTAATCCCTAATCTCAACTTATGAGCATTATAAGTTATTTTTTAGACAAATAAATACATAACTTTTGATTTTGCGCTTTAAATTTTGTAGTAATTAATCAAAATAAGTATATTGAAAGTATTTTTTGCTCGAAATGACTGAAGTTACTGTAAAGAACATTTTACTATTTTTTCAATAGATGAGCAAATTCAACCGTACCACTTCATACAAAATTCCATCAAATTAAACAAAGTTTTTACAAATGATGAAACACATGCATTTTATCTCAATATCTCTACGGTAGGGCCTCATAAAAACATACATACATTAATCACGGTGAGAATTGGTTTTTGTAAAAATAGATCATTTTTGGATGTAGATTTCCTTCACTCTAGTCAATCGTTATTACATATGAGAAAATGAAAGGCAGAAAGGATAACGTCTTCCTTGAGATTTAAAAGGTAATTTCATGTGTGACAAAGTCAAATCATTATATTCATGTGGTATGGGTGACTTTTCACTTGTACTTATACCGGTTAAAACTTTCTAAAAAAATCACAATTAACTTTTGCCAAAAAAGATAACAGTCATATTTTGGAATATTTAAACTCCTTTTACTCCAATTTGGGAAATTTTCCTTTAAAGTATCTACATTAACAAATCTAGTTATTTTACATTTTTTTAATGCTAGAAATATATTATATCGAATTTCAAATGAAGCAAAAAAATACTTGAAACTCTCTACGCTATGTAGGGTTTCTCATCCGCCGATTGAGTTCGTGCGGCAGTGCTGGCTTTCTGCAATTGCTAGTTTATCATTTGAGCTTTTCATTTTTTTTGGAGAATTTATATCGAAGTGGGATGAGGCTCCACCTTCATGCATTATCTTGGCTTACTAAGTCAGAGATGGTGTTTTCTCTCTAGGGCTTCGACTATGTCGGCCGCTGGAGCCTTTTTCCGATTTCGACTTTGTCGAAGATCGGCTTTGCTATCCCTTGGTCGCTGGTGCTCGGCTGGAGTCCAGGTCAGACACGGAGGGCGGAGATCGGTGGAGGAGGGCGGATTTGCTTTCATGGCTCGAGGAGATCGGCGTTGTGGTCAAGGTTCGAGGATGCGACGTTGCTGTCGTTGGAGAAGATCGGCGCCGCCTATCCGCTTACTCTGGTCGCACAGAGTAGGGATGAGTTTGGTTATGCATGGTCTTTGGCAGCCAAAGGTCATTGATCAATTAGCATGGTACCGGTGGTACGACCTCCTCCTGAACCACCACCATGGGATGTACGAGGTGCTAGAGTTTGTGAACGTTTTTCTTGTAGTTTTTATTTGTTTGTTATTTGTTTTCTTATGTCCATTTTTGTTGTTTGTTTTGACAGTTTGTTTGAGTTGTTTTGCCTCTCTTTATGTCATTGGGTATGGTTGGATCTATGGGAACAAGTTTGGCTGTGTCAAGCCTACTACATGGTTAGCGATTCGTGTTGCTCTCTCAAGGGTGACCGTCTCAAAGTCTCACCATAGGGTTACAGTCGTAGTTGTTGGAGTTTCAGTTGGTGTCAGTTTTATTTTCCCTTTGCTTGATGTAACGATCCTGAATCTTTTGATATGAATAGAGTCCTGTTTTGATGATAAAAAATGCTAGAAATATATTATACGAAAGATCTCATAGCTCTGGCATACGGAGAAAACAATATTTACTCAGTTGTTTAACCATTTGCGTTATATATATTCCATCTGGGAAGTTTTTTACGAAATCTCCATTCTCCAACGCCTAAATACTTCAAAGTATTTAACAATATAATTAACTAGCTTTCAAGCCCGTGCGATGCACGGGTAGTACATAATTTAACTAACTGTATATTTGATATTTTCGAAATCATATATAATTAATAAAAGTAATTCAAATTTATATGAAAAATATTTAAATTGGACTTCTACATAAGCATCTCAACTAAACATAATGGTTATGAAGCATTATATTTCTTAATTAATTTCACATCCTCTATTACTTCAAGCATAATAATATATTTAATTTCATTATAAGCATCTCGTACAAAAGTTTCTTAATTAATTTCACATCCTCTATTACTTCATTAAGCATCTAAAATACTATTTTTAAATATTTCTCATTCAACATGTGGTATGAAATAAGTATTTGTAAATTTATTAGTGAGCTCTTACATTGTACTCATTATTTTGTCACATTGAAATGTAAAAAAGGGATCATTTTTACAATTTACTCATTTATTTCGTCACATTGAAAATGTCATTAATAAGGATATTTTTAATTAGATTGACATGTTCATTTCTAACTTGGTCTGGAAGATGTCTATTTTATGTATAATAATAATAATAATAATAATAATAATAATAACAATAATTATAATTATTATTATTATGATTGATATTTGATCCGATCTTGTCTAAGACTGAAATCAGTCCAATTAAAAACACCCTAAATGTATGAAGATTTCCTAATTTAGATTAGGAATCTATGTCAAAAGTGATGGAAAATCTAAATTGTAGTTGTAAAAATAAAGAAACTACTAAACATGTTTACTTTTTTTGCTGGGCTAAACGTATTCATATATGTATGATATGAATTTCCATTTCTATCCTCATAAAGGTAAGATACTTGATCAGAAGTTTTAAATGTTTTCATATATGAATGTCTAATAGTATATATCAATTTCATTTTAAGTTAAAAAAATCTTGTGGTTATAATTTTCATCATTATCTCAACAATTAAGAAAGAATGGTATGATGATGCAGAAAAATACGAAGTATTAACACAATTGCAAATATAAGTCTGATAACTTTAGTCATTATCACATTGAGTTTAGAAAACATTAAAAAAATTGAGTTTAGAAAAATAAAATATTACTCCGTACTTTTTAGGAAATGGAACACCATTATTACTTTATTTATAAAATAACGTAACTTTGAAGAACAAAATTGATAGGAACTTGGATGATTTATTTGTTAGGTGTGCAAAACACGGATAATTCACTTCTCAATAGAATGTAATAAAAATAAAAGTATAAAAATAATTAAATTAAATAAAGTCTATGTGCACGGATGACTATTTATTGTTGTGGTTGCAATAATTGCTTATTTTAATAACAATCCATATTACTACGGAGTAAGTAGTAGATTCTGAAAGAGTTACCAAATAAGGTGGATTTTATCATACGCGACGGTCTTTTGTTTCCATATCAATATGTAATAAAAATAGAATGTAATAAAAAAAAGGTATAAATAGTAATTAAATAATTGTTATATATGATGACATGACAGGATTATGTGGCACGCCAGATACTCTTAAAATTCCTCTTTTATATATATTTTAATAAATATCCATATTAATACGGAGTAAGTAGTAGATTTTGAAAAAGTTACCAAATAAGGTGGATTCTATCATACGATCTTTTGTTTCCATATCAATATGCAATAAAAATAGAATGTAATAAAAACAATAAAATGTATAAATAGTAATTAAATAATTGTAATATATGATGACATGACAGGATTATGTGGCGCGCCGTATGCTCTTAAAAAGTTCCTCTTGTATATATATATATTGATTTATTGTGCTACTCCAGTCATCTTTCGATCCCACGTTAGGTTCTTTAGCATGCCTGGAAACCACAAAAGCCACATTTTTGTCATATTATTGCACGATTATGCACCCATGCACTCCTTATTGTTTAACCCTTTGCTTTAACCCATGCACTACTTCTAACTACGGAGTATTTAACAACCAATTTATAATCAATCCTATTAAATCAATCATTTTGGTTAGCACGTTCTAAAGCTTTTGGGGATCCGAAAAGCCGAATTTAAGTCATGTAAACATCGAGTGCCTATAAATTATCCATGTAAGTCTGCATATTATTCATTAAAATCATACTTCCTTCATCCCTTAAATTTGTCTATCTTTAGATTTATGGTAATTGAAGTTACACGTTAACCAATAATACTACGTACGAGAGTATATTTTTAAAAAAAATTGCAAATAATAATATAAAAAATTGTACTGTCCCATTTTAGTAGGTCATCTTTGAATTTTAATTTCCAATCAAAGATCGTAAACTTCGATTGCAAAAATTATCAAAATTATCAAAGATTGCAAAAATACATTTTTATATCATTTTTAAATTATCAAAACTCTCTATATAAATACATAGTTTGACTTGAAAAATTAAATGTCTGACTTGAAAAATCAAGTTTGACTAATTAGAATTGAAGGGAGGAGATAGGGAATGTACTACGTACTGTATTAAATAGGGTGTGATGTGCCTACCATTGCACGTACATTATTCTTCATTCAACATCTCGATTTTAATTCATATTGCATTAGGTCTGAAGATTCAAGTAATTCATGTTTGATCTTCAGCAAGTACATACGTAGTATAAGTTAATTTAAATGAAGTTTTAATTCATTTAATTATTTTATAGACTGCCAATATTTTATTTCAAAAGAATAAATTAACAAATAATGGAGTTGGCAAAAACCGGTCATACTCCTAAATAAAAACAACTTCACCATAAGATCAGATATACATGACGGGAAAAATACCTATATATTAGTAAAACTCATTAGAATTCCTGAAATATGACCATACTAGTTTTTTACTTCCGTATGACTACTAAACTTTTTAAAAAAGGATTAACGTAATACTATAGATAGTGAATGACCCAAATAACCTCAATTTAAAACACATGCATCACAGGTGTAACGGTTGAAGATTGAGAAAACTTGATGAGGCCGATTTTTAAGGAGTATAATTAAGGAAGGAAATGACCCAAAATCAATTAACCCTAACATATCAATACCATTCTTCTGCAAACAAAGCAAACGACGGAAATGACAGAGCAACTTCAAGAGCAACAGAGGAATACTGAAAATTGCAAGAAGAAGAGTGAAGACCAAAGTAGTGAGCGTCGTCGGGATGGCTAGTACGGACATACAAGGATGAAATTATTGGCGTCAATGGCATGGTGTGTATTTTACTTTATTTTCCATTCTATATATTTAGATGTTATTCTAATAATTGGTGTATTCGAAAGGGAAGCCTTAGATGTTGCTTAATTTAGGCGTATTTATTATTTTACAGTAGAATACATATGAGATTGCCGTAACTTAGGTTGGGTTTGGTCGTTTGGAGCTCAATGCATATGCTATCAGTGTGCTAGTTGCAGTTGTGCAGTGAAAAGTTTCTGAAGGTGTAGTTGTGCAATGAAAAATTTATGCACTTTTAGTTGTGAAACTATTATTTGATGTATGGTCACGATAAATAATGGATTAATAATCATACAGAGTATCTTGCATTTAATTACCTTATTTAATGCATTGAATTTAAGAAAAAAATAAGAGTAAAATGCATAACTAGTCCCTAAACTATCAATCTCATATCATTTTGGTTCTCGAACTAACAAATCTATCATTTCAGTCCCTAATCTATGTAATTCATATTAGTTCGGTCCTTCTATCTATATTTTGACATTAAACTAATGGAATGTACTTAGTTAGTGCATGTATGTGTAAATCAAAATGCTTATACGACAAAATATAACTTATAAAAATATGATTTAATATCTAAATAAATTAAATTAGAATGAAAACTACTATCAAATCATAATATAACGCGTTAAGACATACTATCGTAATATACTATATCCGCTCTCTTTTAAATGCAACATTGGACTTTTTGCACTATTCATATGTTCTACTTTGACTCTATTTTATTTAATACAGAGTAATGTATTATAAAATAAATTAAAAAAAAGTGTTAAATTCCTCTCATTTTCAAATTTCAAAATCTATCTTTTTTTATTTTTTTTACTAATATTTGTATAGTTCTCAAAATTTGTCAACACACAAGTTTCACGTTTGCCAATACACAACTTTGACCATTAATATCTTTAATTCCTTCTTAACAAAAAATTAAAGAAAAGTTGGAAAATTTAAAATGAGAGGAATTTAACATTTTTTAAATTTAATTTATAATACATTACTCCGTATTAAATAAAATAGAGTCAAAGTAGAACCTGTGAATAATGCAATAAGTCCAATGTTGCATTTAAAAGAGAACGAAGGTATTATATTATGTTATAACTTTATACAACACGTTGTATTATGATTTGATAGTAGTTTTCATTCTAATTTATTTAGATATTAAATCAGAATTTTATAAGTTATGTTTTGTCTCATAAGTATGTTGATTTACATGCACTAACTAAGCACATTCCGTTAGTTTAACGTCAAAATATGGACAGAAGGACCGAATTAATATGAATTACATAGATTAGGGACTAAAATGATAGATTTGTTAGTTCAAGGACCAAAATGATATGATGCCAATAGTTTAGGGACTAGTTATGCATTTTACTCAAAAAATAAACATCATGGTTAAATTTTGTGCTGTGATATGCATTGAAGTAATGCATTAAAAGAAAGTATGTATTCAAGTCATTGAATATGGGGCAGTGATGGAAGTGTTAGAAAATTGACATTGTGTATTGTTTATGCAGATTCACTTAGCTCGCTAATGGATTACTTGGAGAAGGAACATCGGAAGTGTATTTTGCCTACAATTTTCCACAACGAAATAATAAGTTAATTGCAATGAAATTAATTTGATATTCAATAAGTAGAATATTAGTATTTGTTGATACATAAATAACACTAAGATGTGTTTTAAATATGCAGGGATAGCTATGATTTGTGTGTTGCTGAAAATATCAAAATGTTTAATAATGGGAAGGAATGCAAAAGAAATCAAGTTTAGTACAACATGTGGCTACATATGGGAAAAGTGGCGATCGAGCTCCTATATCACTCTGAAGTTGTATATGCTTAAGTATATTGAGTGAATGTTCGCAAAAATGTACCTTATGAAAAGGATTCAGATAGTGAGATATTGAACCTTAAGTAGTCTTAAGAGATGCTAAGGTGGACATGTATAACTTTAAGTTATACTAGGGGTAGGCCTTAAGGGATACCCAAGTCAAAGTGAATAATAATTGATCCTAGGTATATATAGGATTGACCTTCGGGTGTTTTCGGTAGTCCTTGAGGATAGCCGGTTGAACTATGGTAATAAGTATGGACCATGGCCCTTCCCGACTCTAGAGAGCGGGGTTGGATAGCATGGACTTGTAATGTAACTACGCATAAGGGTGGAATTCGAATCGGAGACCTAACGAGGCTCCGACAGCGATAACACATAAGATAGGACCCCGAATGGACCTTACCTTCCTATGAGATGATGGGTATGAGTCTAGGGGCGGGATGTTGGATTCCGGCCCGAGGACCCGACGAGGCCTCGGATAGCGGTGACAAATCTCGGAAAGGATGATAGGACCTACGGGCGGTGTCGTGCTAACGATGAATGAAATGAACACGGGCCCACGGGCCAACTACATAACAGTATGTGAGTAAGTTTTACAGCGGGGTATGCTGTCTGGTATACTAGGGAACCTTCAAGTAGAAGGTTAGAGAAAAATGTTATTAAGGACCTTGGGTGTGAATTGTCAGATTCACATGCCAAGGAACTAAACCCAAACTAGTTAGGGCCACTTGTAAATTCTAGAAAGAATTGACGGCCAAGTGGGGAAGGACTTGTTATTCTGTAGTTAGATGGAGTAGCATCTAAATGAAATAAACCAAAAGAGTATGTGAATATGAATGAAAATGCCTAAGGGCAACAATGATACAAAGGTTAAGATATTTTATAAAAAGATCAAGTCAACGTAGAAATTTGGAAAAGTGTGACACCGGTTAAAATGAATAGCGACGTGAATTTCGGGGACGAAATTCGTGTTAAGGGGGGGTGAACTTGTGACACCGCTCCCAATTTAAACTTGGATTTATTAATCCATTAATATTAAAATCTAATTGAAAGTGAAAATACTAATTTCGATGAGGATAATTAGTTAAAGTCATGAATGTATATTCACTTTGAAAACTAGTTACAAGTATATTAATCATACTAGAAATGATTGATTGATTAAATTAATACTGATTAATTAAATTGTGGGTCGAACCCCGAACATGGGAAGAGAGTAACTAATATATATTCTTGGACCAAGATAAATTAAATAAAAAGCCCAAGGAAAAGGAAGTAAGTACAAAATAATTGTTTGGGCCGAATAAAAGGTAAAGAAATAAGACGAGAGACCATTTGAGTTCACTTACAAAAAAAAATAGAAATGTAAAGGGGTTTGAGCCCGGGATATTGGAGAGGACTATCCAATACATTTTAGGGCCGACCTATTATGGTCTACTAGCCTAAAATAATATAAATAAATGAATGAAAGCCATTTGGGCCCGACCGAGATATATCAAGTAACCAAAGTGGCGTTCCAGCCAAATTACCGGAAATAGCAAGGATACGGGTAGGGGGTTTCCTACACCTTAATTGGGGGTATCCCATATGAAAGATAGCCCAAAATAAAAGGGAGGATTAGTTATGAATAACTCGGTCCAGATTAATTAAAAATAGCAGCCCATGTACACAACCCAACCCAACTTTCTAATTATAGAAAGGATAAGGGATGGTCTCATCCTCTCATTTTTGAGAAGTGTCATACGACACATAGAGAGGGAAGGGAGCTCACCTAAGGAACTTCAACAACCATATAATGAGCTTCATTATATGGTTGTGGGGGTTTAAAACCGTTGTTATATGTTAAGTTCACTTAGGATGTTGATGCACAGATTTCGGAAATGACCTAGTGATATAAAAATAGATAATTTTGTGTAACATCTTATTAATATATAAGATGTTACATCCTGAGCGAAAGAGTGGCACCAAAGAGTGACAATCCGTAATGGCCCCGAACCGCTTTAAACTCAATTCCAAAAATTATTTCCGGCGAATAGACGTATCGCAGGGGGATCTGAATGGTGTTTCTTTGTTGACGGTGAAGGTGGCGTTTCTTTGTTGATGCTCGGTTGGGATCGTTATCACGTAAGCATGTTGTGGAATTGAAAGGGATAATCGAGATTGAAGAGCCACAGGTTTCACTAACGATAACGAGGACGGTAGTTAGACGGATAGACGTATACTGATGAGCAAAGTAGAAGATAGAGTACATTGACTCAAGCACACAGTACACGATTATTAAGCTATGATGTACCACCAACAAATTTTTAATACCCAAAATATCCTTACCTTGATTCATGCTTATAAAATTTTGTAATGAAATTAAAATCTAACTATATTTAGCTTCATGACTATTGCGGTATACTAATCAGTTAAGTTATATTCCGGTCCAAGAGGGCTTGCAATCAGGGCCGGTCCAGGGCATGGGCGTCCAATCCAATCCCACACGGCCCACAATTTTGAAAGGCCCAAAAAAACTATTACGGAGTAGTATTAGTTCAGCCCAAATTTACGAACCTTCTATCGCCTAACTTCAAACCATCCGCGACCCAGACCTTCGCAATTCAGCAATTGGAACGAGGAATCAGAAAACCGCTTGGAGACTGGAACGACGGACCAACGAAGGAGGACCAATGAAGCCTCGCACAAGCGGCTGAACACCGACTGAACGCCACCAAGCTCCAGCGCCCAGCACCAGGCCGCCAGGCCCTCCACCGTCCACCGCGCCGCCCACTGCTCTCCGCCAGTCCGCCTTCACTGCACCACAGTCCGGTCAGTTTCTGATTTTCAGCTTTTCCAATTTGTTTAGTTTGCTAATTATTGTGAATTATTGAATTGTTAAATTGGTTGTTGAATTGTTCTAATTTGTTTATTTTTAGATTTTCGGTTTTCATGTATGTTGAATTGTTGCATTGTTGTTATTTGTTAATTTTTTGTAGTTAAAGTAAATAACTTTTTGAATTGATAATAAATGTATAAATGTGTTTTTCTTTTTGGGAAAAAATTGTGTAAATCCGTTTATCAACTACTATGTAAAATTTAAGAAAGTGGTATAAATATATTATTAGGTAACTTGAGGTTCATAAATTATAATTATACTAGTATAGTCTTTCATGATTTCATCCTAAAATTGAACTGAATTTTAATTTAAACTCAATTTACTTGTGTTCCAACTTGAAAAATGGGTCCAAATTTTATTGTTTCACAGAGCCTCCATTTTCTAGGGACCGGCTCTGTTTACAATCATAATGACATTTTCTTTTGATGAAAAGATAATCTTGAGGTGCTTGAGTTTTTAAGAATTAAGTTTAGTAATATAAATCTACTTTAAGCCTTAAAGAAATATGATATAATTGGTAACTCGAACTGAAGTGGGTTTTAAAAGAAAAGAAATGAAGATTTTCTTATATGCTAATAAAAGATTTGCATGTGCAGAGAGCCTTGATATTAGAGAGTACAACCATGTGAGATGCCTAAGCATGATTTTCCTGAAATAATAAATGATGTGCCCAAATTGATTGTCATATGAAGCATACAGAGAAAAGATGTCTCGAAGATCCAATAAAAAATTTGCAATTTTATCTGATTATTACTATCATTAAAGTTCGTGTCATTTTAACAGTTTTTAGAGTTAGATAAATAGTTTCATGACATTGGTCATCAAGAACATATTGTGAGATATTTAGTATAAAAAAAAGTAGGGATATAACATAAATAAACAAATTGCTGGACAGGAGTGAAAAAATAGAGCGAAAAAACTCCATTCACACAACTTAATCCTATTGTGAGGATGACACTCTTAAAACTTGCAGAATGAAACAATTTTTTTAAGATATTGTAATGCCAAAATTTCAGAAATAAAGGATGAATTTTAGAAAGAGTTCTATTCTTCAGCTTTAAAAGACAAGTTGACCTATGTAAGCACACATGGATGTGATTCTAAATTTCGTCTTTAGTAGTGTGGGGTAGATTATTTTGAGAAGGTTAATATTTAGTATTGGCATTCTTCCTCATATTAAAAGGCAAACAGAGTGAGCCATCTCGTTTAAAGTCTATAACGTGAGGTTGTGATTCTGTGTTGTAGTTTCAAGAGAGCACATGAGAAGTGTATTTAAACATTGAAGCTATATTGTTTAAATCAATTTTTAAGATGTTTATGAAATTTAGTATAGGTTGTTAAATAAAAGAATTAGTAGTATGTCTACTAAACAGTAGATATTCCATCTGTTTGTTAATAAAAAGGGTTTGAATGCATTTTTAGCATTCCACTTAAATGCTTCAAAAAACATTGTAGCTTTGAAAAGGTTTAAAGCAATATCGTTGTACTAAAGCTTAGTGTGAAGTCTAGGCTAAATAATGTGAGACTATACCAAGTTCTTTTAAGTTTCGAGGGTGATGCAAGACGTCGTTATCCCGAGTTGTTCTAAGTTTCGAAAACGAAACTTTTTTTTTGGGATGAAATGTAAGTATATATAAAAAACATCCAATGAGTTTACATGTACAGCAAAAATTTATGTTATCCATAACCCATCACCTAAAAAAGGAGCTAGGTGGTAATATATCTACCAAATACACGACCAATCACAAGCAAAAATAGGTGATGGGCAGATCAAAGTGTATCAAAATACAATTCAATCATGTGGATAAACACCGGATTTTGTACACTATGTACTTTATCCTAGCAAAAGCATCTTCTACTAATGGTGAGAGGGGTTGCAACACCCTGTTTTTTGTGAGCTAGTTATATTAGTCATTAATTATTATTATTTTGGTCGGTTAAATAAGTTTTTTTTATGAATAATATGATTTATCATTTTATCATATTCTATTTGTGGTAGATAACGTTGATCACTAAGCTCTAATGTTTCTAAGCAATAAAATAAACGCTATTTCAAATTTTATCATTTTATTATTAAAAGGGAGAACATCGTTTTTCTAGTTCAGGATAAAACAATTTTTTTAGATAATAAGAGGCCCGATTTCTATTGTTTGCAATGGAGCCAACGATTCACTATTGTTTGGCTTGAGAATATTTTGGAATAAAGCAAAATGGCTCACTAAACTGTCTGTGCTTCTTTGTTATGAAGCAGTCGTCAGTCCATGCAATTTTGGACGCGATTTTCACTATGGGTCATCCGAACACAGACTCTCTGTGCTTTAGTACAGGGGTAAAACTGCATACATCCGACCCCCCTTACCCCACCGTAGGTGGGAGCCTTTGCGGCACTGGGGTAATTGAAAATGAAAATGAACTAGAGGCCCGAGCCGGTTAACTTGGCCCAAATGAGCACATTTAAGATATAATTCCTAGAAAAGATAGCTATTTGTATAAACCCTTGCTGCATGAGTTAACTTTTGGAGCAGCTTGTCATTTTTTGAGGCTCGAAAAACTTTCCTCTCCATCGTTACCGCGTTAGTTCTTCTGATTTATATTCTCCATCTTAGCCGGTCTTATTCCAAGTAACAATACAATCTTTTTGGTTAGTTAAATTAGTAGCAATGTGCACATAGGTGTGGATAGAGAGTTCTGTTTTGAAAAATAACCTTGATTTAGTTAAATGAATTTGTTTTTTCTGGTTTCAAACTGATATTTTTGGAGCGATTCGCACATAGTTAAGAAATTATAAGTTCATTTGTAAATCGAACCATCATTTGAAATTCTTTTACCAAGTAATTGTTCAGCGATGGAGCAGCCCATAAATTAGCTTTTGTTATCCCTGATGCTAACTTTCTCTCCAGAAGAAAGTCAAATGTGTATTGTCCTGCCTTCTACCAAAGTCATATGTTGCGACATACGATAGTATACACTTTTAGAAATCTGTTTGTGGTTCTCAATGTTTTGTATTTCATAGTGTTAGGAGTAACAATGGAATTTCGTAGGATATATAAACTTTCCTCTCTGCCCTTAAATTCAGCAATGTGTTTCTTAAGAATGCTTCAGTGGATCTGGTTACCCTTTAAAATTTAAAAATAACAGATATATGAGGGATTCGACTATCAATAAAAGCCAGTGCTGTAAACAAATTATGTAAAAGTATGTCTGAATGATGAAAGATACATTTCAAACTCTTTGGAACACTTTGATCCGGCTTGTTATTAAAATCTGGATATGCAGAGCAACAAACCAACTTACTCTTGATGCCCAAATCTGTCCATGTCATGTTCAACTCGAAATTCCTGTTGAACATCTTTTCTTTGGCTAACTCCTCAAAAATACAGACCGTTGCCAATTGTGTAATGTAGAACTGATGATTTGTCGAATGCATAGGGGAAATAGGTGTCCATGATATATTTCTGCTCTTAGCTCTAGACAGTTTCTGACTTGTAATAGTGTGGTACAATTGGTTGTCAGTTAATCAGCTCCCGTGTGTGTCGTGCTGAAAACTGCTTGCTATCATATTTGGGCTTATATGCCTCTACATGGCAGTTAACTTAATTATGAAATTTTTATAATATAATTCAAGGCATTTTAGTAATTCTTATTTTAAATGTATCTCACAGGTGGCTAAAAATAAGGACAAAAGGATATTATGATTCGGATCAAGGTCTGCTAAGACATGGCCAATTATTTCCTGGGCCATCCCCATCATGCGGTGCAAGCGTCTATGTAATTAATTTAGTGGGCCAAGTGTGATAATATCATAATAGTACTTATTATCCCTCTGCTGCTATAGAAGAGTCTGAAAATATTTCTTGGCGGGAACAGTTGATGCTCACGATTCCCTTTTTATATTAGTATAGATATGTTAAAAAGGGTATATTAAAATATTCCCTTTTTAATATTTCTGGACTGGAGGCCCCGTTAATATATTACGAGGAACCCAAATGATGTTTGGGGCTGTCCAATTGGGAATAATGGCGGCTTGCGTGGTGCTCTTCGTTCCGCTTGGTATGGCGGGCTGGCATTTGAGCCGCAACAAGATGCTCTTCTTCAGCTGCGCCCTCTTCATCACCCTCTCCGTCGGCGTCCACTTGACCCCTTACTTCCCTTCAATCTCCTCCCTCCTCCCATCTCCGGGTTTCCCGCATTCTGAATCCTCTCCAGATTTAAATCCTAATTCTTGCATTTCCTCACTTCATCAAGTCACATTCAGTGTCCCGAAATCAGACACAAGCAACAAATCTTGGGATTGGGCACATTCCGAGCTTGGGGATCGATGTGAATTCCAAAAGTTGAGGAGACAGGATGCTTCAGATTTGCTAAACGGGTCATGGGTCGTTGTTGCAGGGGATTCACAGGCGAGACTATTGGTGGTTTCAGTATTGGAGTTGTTATTGGGGTCAAATGAGGTCAGCGGGGATCTCTTCAAGAGACACAGTGATTACAGCATTGTGTTGGATGATATTGGGATGAAGCTTGATTACAGATGGGCACCATATGTAAGTAACTTGACTCGTTTGGTGTATGATTTCAAGGATAATAACTATTACCCTGATGTGCTAGTGATGGGGTCCGGGCTATGGGATATGTTACATGTGAATGATGCATCAGATTATGGGGTCTCATTGAAGCTGTTAAGAGATTCACTAGTGATGTCCTTACCCATGTACCCGGAGTCCGAGTCAGGTACAGGTCGGTCGCCCCGCATGTTTTGGGTTGGGATGCCGATGCTGATAAATTCGATGTTGAACACAGAAGAAAAGAGGGAGAGGATGACTGATGCTCAATGGAAGGCTTATAGTGAAGAAGTTTATCGTAGTAAACTGCTGTTAGGATATGGCGGCCCCCTTTTCTTGTTGGATATTCACGCTTTGAGTGGTAATTGTGGGGCGGAATGCACCACAGATGGTATGCATTATGATGGGATTGTCTATGATGCGGCAGTTCAAGTCATGTTAAACGGATTGGTTATAGAGTCCAACCAAAAGTTGTTATGATGAAGGGGCAGGGCTGTTATGGGTTCTCATCTAACCTGATGTTTCTGTTAATGCATAGGTCTTATAGAGTTGGAGAAGGCATTCATTTTTCCACATACAACCTTGATGAGCAAATGGATGATGCATTTGTGCTCTCATGTAAAAGCATTTTTATTTGTATTATTTCCAAGCAAATTTTATACGGAGTATATACAGACATACAGTGCCATTATAAGTTTTCCATGCATATATATATATATATTTTCCTTTTAAGGATGTGTTTCGACTTTCGATTTGAGAGGAAGGAAAGCTGAACTCCTTCAATTCCCTTAGATTTTAGAGGGTGTAAAGTAAGAAAAGGGAAAGAGACGAAGGGGAAATAACAAACTTGCTCACCCCCTAATGAAGAGAGGAGCCCGGAATCTTCCATCTCATCTATTCTCAGGTGGACTAGTTCCAGTTGTAGATGCAGGAACCGAAAAGTGAACCTGGTATATCCAATTTGGTTCCAACTTGGCTCACATCCGGTCTTCAAGTCATACTTTGAAGGAATCAGCTCAGTTTAGGAGCACTTCTGGTGCTGAACCATTTTTCCAGTTGGGTTCCAGGAAAATAACCAGCCAACACCCCATGGACCGAGTCGATCCCTAGTAGGCTACGAGTCTCCTCTTTTCGAACCAAATACTTCTTAAACAAATTGTATGATTTCAACATTAGTAACTCTATGACAGTAAATCTATAGCCACTACTTTTGTTGGGTGTTGATAAGAAGTCTCATTAGATTGCATTTTCAATCATTACATTAACTCATTTTTTGTAGGCTCCCAAATTAAATGCAACTAAACATGTTTCTAAGAATCAAACTGTTTGCCTTCAAAGGTCTGACCATAATTCCAGTTCTTGGGAGAAACACCGTAAGATGTGAGGGTGACATGATCACTATTAGTGATCTCAAACGAGAGAGGTTGACTGCGCAGGTTTGCATTTACGTGCCAATTTTGACCCCAATTCCTGCCCATCGGAAGCCATCCTGTTCTTGAACCCTTCACTTTGACTGCAGCTATATCACCTGCTCCGGCAACATTCGCGATCAGCACCGAAATAAATATTCCGGCACCATTCACTGTGAACCTCACTCCTCCTTCCTTCCTGCACTGTATTCTGTTTGATGAAAGCAGCCAAAAAAATGTTACTATGGTCTGCATTCGGATTAAGAAGGGTTTATTACTGTGGTGGACCTTGCAAATCTATAAAAGTTTAAATCATAAAAGTTAAATATGCTGCATTGCTGCACTGACTTAATTCATCACAAAATGACTAAGAAAAAAAAAAGACTAAGAAAAACATGATGTCGGAAGTAAAATAGATTCTTCAAAAGAAAAAAAAACATGCCCTGGGATACATAAAAGCAACCAGACATATTAAGAAACAATTAAAAAACATTTAGCAACTAGCACGGCTTCTTGTGTATCCTTTCTTTTAAAGGAAAGAAGTGTATTACGTAGTACACTAGTACTACGAACTACTCCGATTTTATTCTTAGAGAAAACATGCAAAATAAAATGTCGAACTATTTGCGATTTTGCAATCAGACCCCTGAATCGGAACAAGTGCAAATATACGCCTAAACTCATTGAAAATCAAGCAATCACGTCCTTTTTTACCTGCTGGTGTCGGTAGTTTCTCATCTCTTTACCTGCACCACTAGCACCACTAGCACCAGCATGTAAAAAAGGACCTGATTGTTTGATTTTAAATGACTTGAGGGGTGTATTTGAAATTTTTCCGGTTCAGGGGCTTGATTGCAAAATAAGATCTCGAACTATTTGCGATTTTGCAATCAAACCCCTGAATCGGAACAAGTGCAAATATACGCCTAAACTCATTGAAAATCAAGCAATCACGTCCTTTTTTACCTGCGGGTGTCGGTAGTTTCTCATCTCCTTACCTGCACCAACATGTAAAAAAGGACCTGATTGTTTGATTTTAAATGACTTGAGGGGTGTATTTGCAATTTTTCCGGTTCAGGAGCTTGATTGCAAAATCACAAATAGTTCGAGGGCTTGTTTTCCTGTTTTCTCTTATTCTTATGCAGTTCTCTGTCCCAATTTAAAGTTCTAAATTAAATTTGACACATGATATAATTAATTATTAGATTAGTATTAATGATTAACTACAAGTCTACAAGTATTAATCTAGAAACTATAACAAAAGTTTTACGATAGTATTATTCTCAAAAAATGAATTCGAATACGATCGAAATTTATTAAATTTGATTAGAGATTAAAAGATTTAAAATCAAGAAAAAATGGCTGAAAACCGTAGAACATTAATTTCTAAAAATAACCCTAAAGAGAAAGAGAATACATATTTTCCTTAAAAATAAGTACAATATTTTTTCTTGGGTGTAATGCAAAAATCCCATTGTGATATAAAAATTAGGAACATAAACCCCATGAGATTTAGAAAATGCATCAACTCTCATGTGTTATTATTAGTCATGCGTAGAATCCCTCCTACGAACAAATTTATTTGTCAAATTAAAGAAAAATGATTAACATTTTTGTATAATTTAGAGATTTTGACAAATTTATTTGCATATTCAATCATAATTACGAATAGTGATAACACATGGGGGATTGACACGTTTTTTCAATCAGACTAATGCGCTGAATTTAACACAGCGAACTAATGCGATGAATTTCTACGTTCATATTTTAAAGTATGATGAAACCCATTTTTCTAGAGCAAAGTATTGCAATCCTTTTCAACGTTCATATTTTAAATAACACTAAAGTAGGAATTTTTAATTTTCAAACAAATAAAAGAACACTAAAATAGTACGTAGTATATTTTTAAAATTTGGGGCTCTCCAAATTAGGAGGCTGGTGGTGCAGCATTTATTGAATGGCCTAAAATGTTTAAAAAAACACTTCACATGTTATAGGAACACGATTTCTTGTATAGAAAATCAGCATTTTTATGATAAGTTTGTTTCTTGAAACAGATGGTTTCCTTAACCTCATCATCCAAACTATATTTCATATAGTGATGGTAATGTGGCAAATTATACAAAGTAATTAAGCTGATAATCACTGAATTGTTTGACAGGGCCTCCCCTAACTCCAGTGAACTGCAGTAGGTTTAACTGGTTCATACCCATATGACATCTTATCTTATCCTATTATAGGCGAATACGCACCTGCGGTACTTAATTGGCATATTGGAAGCTTTCCAAATGGCGATTTTCTGAAAAGCTTCAATGGGCAGCACGAAATGGGCTTTGGGAGGGTTACAGTGGCCGCCGGCGTCCGGCTCGAAGCCATAGTTGGGCGCGCAGAAATTGGTGGCGGTTACAATCACGGAAGTCCCCGGAATGCACCACCGGAGGTCCTCCACGCACCGCACCTCGAAGCACGCGCCGCAGATCTGGCCCCTCTCGAACAGAACCGTGCTCAGCCCGGCCGTGGACTTGCCGTACCCGCTCTTCTCCAGATCCCCATACCCGCAGGCGCCGCCCACCGCGTCCCGGGGATCTGCCGGCGCGTAGTAGGTTGCGCTTGCTGGACGCCACTCCGACGAGGGTGACCGGTTGTAGTGGGAAAATACTAATGGAGCTGTACAACAGAGTGTCAGGGCTAGGAGATGTGGTAGTAAAAGGAGTACACTATCTGGCATACTTGAAGCTCGCCTTCTGTATCTCTGTTCCCCGGAAGTCTGCTTCGCCGGAGCCGGATGGATAGTCCGTGAATCCCGGGGTCAATGGCCGTAGCTAGCTGATAAAGCAGCCTTTTTTTGTGTGTGTGTGTGTGGGGGAATGAAGCCGTTTAAAATCATGTTCATGTTCATTGTGTGGAGTTACCCGTTTTTCAAATATGATTGGGGACAAGGGTTCGTCAATACACAAAGTTTTATGAGAAGAGAATAAGGATGTTTTTTTACTAGACTGTTTTTACTCCAGACCAGTTTAGACCGGACTAGATTGGCCTGAGTCAGTTCAGACTAGATTAGACTTAACTTTAATAATTATAAAATACATAGAGATCATACATTTATAAGATCAGACCAGACTCCAACAAACCAGATCAAACCAGATCAACAAATTTCAGTCCAAGTAAAAACATCCTAATAGTACAGAGCAATAAAGTATGGAGTCCATCTTTTACCAAAGAATTTTGAAATAAATACCGAGAACTGCACGTGTAGCTTAGGACTCAGGTTGTTGAGTGGTGAAAAATTGGAACAATAACTAAGAATCAAAACATGATGCGGTTATGTTGAGGTTACAATGTGGTGGAGACTATATCTATGGTGTGCTTGAATACGAAATCTATCACCATTGAACTTGCTGAGTCACTGTGATTTACAACCGTCCAAATATTTTGTCGATAAAGTGACCTTGGATGGAAACTCCATCATGAAATATTTTGTCACAACCTTCAATCGTTGGAACATTGAAATAAATATAGTGAGCCTCCATCATGAAACCGAATTTTGTTGGACAGATGGACTATTATTTCTAAGCTCCCATCTCTAAATATAATAATTTATCGTCATGCTCGGAAAATATCTCCAATTATGATAGTATATTGTCACATTGAAAATCTGATAATGTCAAATTTTGATAGTTTGATTCATAACGATAAACTACTCCTGTTCACTCGAAAAAACTTATAACTCATATTTTGGAGTTTCCATTGATCTTATTCCTATTATATAATTGTGTCTAACTTTTTAAATAAAATTTAGTTTGACATCATTCTGATGTTAGCATTTCTCCTTCAATTCTGGAGCTTAAAGGAAGACCTTATAGAGCAGACTAATTATATAGAGCTAGCTATATACGGAGTAAAATTTAGGGAGTGTTTGCGATTGCTTCAACTTTAAAAAAGTGATTTTTTAAAGTGATTTTGGGAAAAATGATTAATAGTAAAATTTGGTAGTGTTTGAGAAAAAAGTGATTCTGAAAAACTAAAAGTTGGTAGTGTTTGGTAAAATAAGTACTTTTTGTGTAATAGAAAAAGTGAGAAGCAGTTTAAAGCACCCTTCTACCTGCTTCCAGCTTTTAGCTTTTAAGTGATTAATTTAAGCAGAAGCTATCATTTGAAAACACTTTTTTCAACTTTTTTAAGCCAAAAGCTGAAAAGCTCTTTTTTTAATCAACCCCAAACACTCCTTTAGTCATTTTTAAACTAAGCCTCCCCACTTTTTCCTTTGCCTACACTTCTTTTT